ATTTCGTCCTATTTATGACTCGTCAGCTGGATTTATATGTATCTTAGAGATGATGTCCACTCTGGGATGTAAATCAAGTACTGTTCGCTTTAAACGTCACTATGTTATTTATTTAACTATTGATTCCTGATAGACAACATCAAATCTGAAATCCAGGTATATTTTTAAATGACGAGTTTCAAATAGGATGAAATACATGTCCTCGATTCCACTGTTAAACACTATACATATTTGATTAAAACGCTTGTGACTTATGGTATGATGGAGGCAATTTGCACAGGATTCCCATATGTCAACAAGAGACTGCTCAATTACAATCTTAATTAACATTGGGAAGATACAAGTAAACAATACCAAATGAATTTATGTCATTATTTAGTTTATTTATTGTTAGAATTTCCATTGAATTTTAAAATGACGAAATTATATTATTTATTGATTAGTTTGAACACACTAATTATGTCCACTTTATGTCCTGTGGTGGTCGGTATTCAATATAATCCTTAAACGTCGTATACAGTTCGTCTTGATAACCGTCACTAGATAACGCGCCAACGGTATATTAATCGGAAGGCGAATACGAAGTGTTGATTACGTTTATTATGGGACCACACACAGATATGTAAAATCGCAGGTGCATTGAACAAGCATGAAAGAGTTGTGCTGAAAGGCAAGCGGGCGAGCGAATATGAGTACGAGTAAGCGAGTACAATTAAGCGAGAGAGAGAGCAGTGAGCATGAATAACATGGGCATATATATACATAGTGAAATGAATGAATCATCGAATCAATCAAACGGTTAGTAATAAGGCTAGTCACGTGAATACATGCGTAGGCAGTAAGCAATGCTCAAGCATACATGTTCATACATTCACAACAATAATAAAGATACAATGATATAGATAAGTTGTTGTTGTACAGATAACTCAGTTCGTTAATAAGTTAACAAAATGACTTAACCGAATTAAATGTGAACAAACTCAATTGCACGTGAGTTGCTATAGTCCACTATATAATATACAATCCTTTTGTTTTCATGTATCCATGTTAACTTTCAAGGCTTCTTCAAATTTGTAAGCCACTTTTTTTCTCAGAAACATCCATTTACTTCAAGAATTTTTTTTTGTTTCTTTTCGAAATTTAATTTAATAAACCAATTACATATGATGACCATATGTACATATAAGCTGTTTTAGTGGTGCTGTATCTGATTCTAGGTCGATTGTATGCATGAATGTTATTGAAATATACATATCGTCAATCCTTGTATATCATCATCGACTTAACTCATCTTAGTATATAACGGAAATAAATAAGTCAAATACGAGAATGAATTTCGAATACGTGTATTTCATACAATTGTTGATCCATACAAGCAATAAAAGAAAAGAATCAAAGTAACGCGCGATGAAGAAGGCGTGTTAGCCAACTCGATTTAACCAACCGTGAAACGATATGATGATTGAATGGGATAAGAAGTGCACACATATACGCTTACATAAAAACAGTATAGGCTGATAAGCGAATAATTAATTTATAAATAAGTATCACATATAATGGTTGATATGCCATAGTTGTCATTATTTTTCTATATACTGAACATTTATTTTGTCATAGTATAAAATTCTACAATAGACCATATCTAAGACTCTACCGCAGGAGATCAATATCAGGAGCACACCACTGTTGGGTGTTGGTTAACTAATCACCAACGGTTACGCAATATTGAGGATTAATATAACCTAGGAATAGTAATCATTGGATATCTAAGGGTTGAGTACTATCAAATTCAATAATCTCCACAAACCACCTTCTAGATGATATTACAGAGGAGATGTTTATTGAAAAATGTATAACACAAACGATGTCATATTGTAAGAAATATTTCAGTATTATCTGTAGAAATAACCCAAAAGTGAATATTTTTATTGGATCTTATACATTTCCCTAGTTTATTTCATTATATTTTAGTTATATTGTTTTACTACTGAATAGTTTGTAAGTACAATAAATGGTTATGAAGAAATATATTATTGTCGTAATTCTTATGATGTAAATGATTATCCATCAAGATATGATCAGACCGGATTTAAAGATTTAGTATTTAAGAGTAATGTTATTCCCTGGTTTCAGTTTGAGAAAAAGATATTTCGATATTTTTACAATTTATATTTTATGATCAGAAAGGGGATTTTGTAGATATTATAGTAATTTAATAGTTCAGTTCATGAGTCAATTAAACCTAGATCACCATGGAAAACCTGGTAGCACTGGACGACTGTTTCGTCGTAGTGTGTCACAGATGAGAAGTGCGTATCCGTAATCCTGCATACCTAACTCAAACCCAGGATCTTCGGTCTCGTACGTGAACGTTTATTATCTAGATCACTGAGCCGACATCCAATAGTGTTATTGTCTAACTTCAACCAATACACGATATTGCGCAATCATCCACCATTGTCTTCGGTGAGTTACTATGTCACAACAGAACTGTTTACTGCACTTATCATATTTTAACTTATATTACTGACCATAATAATAAATGTTGGTAAATATATGTAGAAAGTATTAATTTAAAGTTGATTATACCTTCTTATACATAGTTCTCGAAATGACTGAATAAAAGAATGGTAAATATATAGTTATTGTGAATTAGAAAATAAGTCGTCATTTTAGCAATCATAATTGGTCATAATCACAACTGATTTATCTCTGAGTGGTGATCAATCAATTGTAAATACATCTCATGCCTACAGGAGGTCAGTTGAGTGACACGGGATCGAATTTGTCAAGGAGCATCAGTCCCCTTAAGATTTCAGATGTACTTTGCTGACAAGTCTCAGGTAGCACGAAACCTTGTTCGAAGGTTTCTTGTTGACTTCTTCCAACCACCATCTTGTCTGCTCATAATCATTGATCGATACTCGAAATAGTTAAGGATGAAAGTATTCTCAAAGGTAAATAGAATAAAATATTAAATGTTCCACATATGCTTTCAATAGATACTCATAAAATAGACAAATTGATTGATAGAATACAGTTAAAATTAAAAGATTAAAAATAAATATTTTTGATCACTTCTAAGTTATATGTATTTAATTTATTTCAACACAAAACATTGGTACAAAGAAGCACCGAAGAGGAGATATGCTCCACATAAATGATTGGATTGGTGTGAGGACTGAGATACTGCTCACGTGCCTAAACCGAATCAGGTGGTCTTCTTGAGGGGGCACACACGGAGCCTTCGATCTAAATGTCTGATCCACAAGGCAGTGGAGTAACGTCAGAAGATGCATTCCCATATTAGCCAGTGACCAACATTATGTTCATACGCCATTTGTTCCTTCAGGATTCTTGTTTTATTCTGTCGTCGCAATTGTAATATCTGGTCGTCGCTGACTGCTGTGACGGAAAGACGCTGATCACCTATACTCGGAATGAGGGACCTCGGCAATTCCCACGATGCGAAAGTAAGAACACAAAGACTGGTATAAGTGAAGATTTATTAGCCCCAAACACTATGACAACGACGAATCGAATCTAGTCTAAAATACACTGGTTTATATATTGATTCTACACCCATTTTGATTAGTAATTAGGATTAAATCACATACTCAGTTATAACAAATCACTTACTGAGCAAAGTTCTTGTCAACTGAATACAAGAATATCGTATATTATACAGAAGAAAATATCACACTGGGAAAACAAATCAAATACTACACTGAATGATCCTCACGTTGAATCAAAACGGATGTTGAATGTTGAACAAAACTCATCATGAGTAATTCAATCGAAAATTGACTTTTCTTTCCATCATAACATAATTATACAATAAAAATATAAGTTTAGTATTGGTCCATAAAAGGATCCTAAAATTACCGTTCATTATGTTTCTCGGGTCCTAACAATTCTAGAGCCAGCCTATGTGCATCATTGTTTTGGAATTAAGATTTTCCAACTTCCCTAAGTGGACTCTCCATATCCACCAAGTCGATTAAAGCATCAAACATTCGCTTTTCATCCTCTCAACAACATTCGTGGTGCAAGAATGCAATGAGTAGGACTTCCCTGTCTATGGTTATATGCATGTGGTCGTGTGAGGGCATTTCAAGAGAGAGATAGAGAGATAGAGAGAGAAAGAGAGCTGACTCTCATCACTCTCAAACATTTAGGATTCTGTGATTCTCTTAACTGGTAAATAATTTAAAAGTTGCATTATTACTAATGAATGTTTGTATTAACTTGTTACAAATCGATTCAACATAGACCTTTTTTTGTATTATAAATCAAATAGATGCTTCAAGAAATACATAAATTAAATCAGCTATGAAATGAATCTACAAAAGTCAATTCGTTGTTTTCATTAAACAAATATAAAGAGTTATGTACAAACCTACACATTATGAATTATTTATTCAAGGTATCAATGACCAAAAAAAAGGAAACAATACATGATCAATATGAGCATATATATATATATATATAGATGCATAATGGAGTTGATTTGCATTATCATCATTTTCACCTGGTTATTATTCATTTTAAATTGAAAGTATTGACCTTCATTCAAGGTTATTGTAATTAACCAATCCAATCATAGTATCAAATCAATGAAATTACCATTATCTGGATCATTAGTTACAATCAGTTCTAATAAGTCAGATTTTAGAAAAAAGTAAACATCATCTTTTATTTTGATAATTCATTTTTTAATAGTTGAGATCATGAGTCAATTGAAGTTAGACTCACATGGAAAACCTTGATGTATTATATATCCATTTCATCCTATTGTGAAACTTCTCCTTTGCAATGTTCATTCATGATCCCATCTTGAAAGATTCGAACCGAGGATTTATCAGTCTAGTATATGAGCGCTTAATCACTAGATTATTGATTCATGATTTCAATTATTGAAATTACTACATTCTCCACCAAACCCTCACTTTGAATAATTTTATTTCTGGTTAGCGTTTTTTTTTTATAGCGAGTTAGTTTTCTACGGGATAGGGTCGCTAACCGGATGCCCAACCCTCCTTCTTTATCCGGGCTTTGGACCGGCAGTAGTCCCTAAGAGGGACTCCAGGCGGAGTTAAACCCTTACTGATACAAATTTTTTTCTTTTCATTTTTATACAGAGAAAAATCTCGTCAAGTAAATACAATGTTAGCAATAAAGTTTTTTATTTATAATCCAGAATGTTCTATTCCAATTACTTATCGTTTACAATGGTCATTATTTAAAAATGTGGATTGGAATAAATTAATAAAAAAATTACATGAAATAACACATAAACAATATTCTGGTTTTACATTAACATGGAATGGTAAGTATCATTATATATTATGATAGTTGAATATGTATTATAGTTTTGTGTTGATATTACAATATGATTGTCTATGATTATCATAGTTGAATTCATGGGTTGATTAAAGTTAGACCAACATAAAAAACTTGGAAGCACTCGGATGACTATCTCGTCGTAGTATGGAACTGGTGAGTAATGTGCATCTATGATTCTGCTTACGGGATTCGAACCCTAGGCGTTTGCTTACAAGATTGATAAGTATTGGATTTGAACCTCGCGAGCAGGATCGTGGATATGCACTGCTGAAGAGTTCTATATCAGGACGAAAGGGCCGTCCAGTTCTTTCAGGTTTTCTATGGTAGTCTAGCTTTAATTGATTCATGAAATTATGACATAGATATATATATTATAACTTGTGACCTGTGTGTCCTGTTAATGTCTAACGTAATGATGAAGCCAATTACAGAAGAGCGAATTATCGATCGGACCAAGGATGAGTAAAACCCGTACGAGCAGTCTAGAGTCCTGATTCGTCCTACTTTCCAGCTAACCCAGACATTTAAGTCCAGAACACCAATCTGAGCCTCTGCAATATGAATCATTATATTTCAAACATACTGAGTTTATATACCAAACAAACAGACCACAACGTACCAATAAAATAAGAAACAACATTTGTACAAGAATTAGCCAGATGTCGTGTGAATGAGGAAGGTAGCGATTAACAAACAGGGAATAGTTCATGAATGGTAAATCGTATAATAATAGTTTATAGGTCAAAATAAAGCTCACAACAAGAGGGACATGAATATGAACTGTTTAGTTACATAACAATTATACGATAGAAATATACGTATAGTATTCGTCCATAAATGGGTCCTAAAAGTTGCCATCGATTATGCTTATCGGGACATAACAATATATTATATTTTCCTAATATTTTATAATAAGCAAGTACAAAAAAGACCTACAATATTGATCAAATGACTGAAATCGGTAGTGGTTTCTAAGATTAAATATGATTGATCTTCGTTTGTATACGAGTTTTTTAAATGAATACTTAAATGATGTTTGTATGTACAAGTTGATTAAATTTTACAAAGAGACAAGCAGTTTAATTTACGTCCTTGGTTTCATCGTCTATGGGACTGGTCAGTTGATTGTACATAAATCCCATTGTTAATGAGATGATAAGTCTCATTGTTAGCTCAGATTTATTGTCATTAACGGATTTATTTATTTATTTATTCAACCACATAAATATTGATAGAAGGAGGCACCAAATAGATATGCGCCACATAAATCATTTGATTTGTGTGAGAGCTAGGATACTACCCGGGTGACCGAACTGAAAAGGGTGGTTTTTTTAAGGGGGCTCACACGGAGCGTTTGATCTAAAGGTCTAATCCACAATGCGGTGGAATAACGTCAAGAAATTTAATCCCATGGTAGTCGGTGACCAACGATTGGTTCATACACCATTTGTTTCTTCAGGATTTTGGAGCCAGTCCATGTACAGGACTGATTTGGAATCAGTGTTTTCCAACTCCCCTAGATGGATCCTCTGTATCCACCAACTCGATTAAAGTACCGGACACTCGCTTTTGGTCCTCTCAGTCTCACAAACAACACCCGTGGTGCAAGAATGCAGTGAGTAGGACTTCCCTGTCCATGGTTATATGCTTGTGGATATGTGGGACAATTTCAAGATGGAGGGCAGAGTGCCCGCTTTGCCGGCCGTACCAGGCCATTTGAAGGCATCATTAACGGATACTTTATCATTATATATTAATATAATTGGTTATGTATTATAAATTTGTCTACGATGACCGATTTTTAACAACAAATAACATAACTGATTCTAATCAGAAAGGTATTTTGTGAAGAGCTTTTTTTGGTAATTTAGTAGTTGAATTCATTCGCTGGGTTCGAACTCTTGGCATTCGTGCACGAGATCGTTAGATCGTAGGTTCGAACCCCACGAGCAGGATCGTGGATGCATCTCATCGAGGAGTCCCATACTAAGACGAAACGGTCGTCCAATGCTTCCAGATTTTCAATAATGGTCTAAAACCAATCAAATTTTTTTCACAATATAATCTTTTGATAGACAAATGTTCATACAAAATGGATTACATAATACTTTTTTCTGTTCAATTTTTCTTTAGATGGATTTCATAATTGTATTATAACAGATGTAAAAGATATTCTAAGAGCTGTAGAATATATGCAAACTAAACAATTACATCATGATGATTGTTTACATATAAAAGTGAATAGTTTACCAAAATCACTTCCAAATGAAAATGTATTTACTACTAGTAATTCATCTAAAGTATTAAATCAAGTTTATCCACCTACATATACTGAAGCAATTGGTTCACAAACGAATTCATTACCGAAAACAAATCGAACAGAGAATAAAATTATTATTATACGTTCTAATCAACCGGCTAGAAATTAATAGAATACAGTTAATTCATATTCTTGTACTTTTATAAAGTTAAGGAAGTCAGATCCCCAGAACTCACTTGAATAAAGATCTAATTTTGTAATTTTATTCTGACGATTTGAATTCTTTTATTTTCGCGCCAAAAACACTTTTCACCTTCATGTCGTATTTCTCACTTGGGTAAATCTTAAACGCTATTGGTCCATTGTGTCCTTGAGTATGCTACTTTGTGACGCTTCTCAAGGACGGTTTTGTGCTGTATATATATATATATATATATATATATATATATATATATATATATATATATATATATATATATATATATATATATACGTTTTGATTTATGTCTGTTGTTATCGCTCATGTTTTTGGCTTTTTGTGAAATATACTTCCCCGTTCGAACTTCGAATTCTCTCTCTAGTAAGAGGGGAGGGGGCTGGGATGCAATAGAATCGCTAGTTTATTGGTCTTTATTCACATGATTTTGTTTCCATTTACAGACCCAGCAGAAAGCTACTGAAAAATAGAAAGCATTGAATATTTGTTTCATCCAAATGTGAGATTTCATAGTGAAGCAAATCTACAATTTAAAAGATCATAGAATTCAAAGATTTCAGAATTTGTAGTAAGCTCCAAGACTTTGAACCATTGAATAGAAATCCAATAAATTATATTATAATAAATTCAATATATGCTTTCAACTTTGTCAGATTTGATCAATGGAAACTGGTAACAATTTTTGAATACCAGTGATAAGAAGATTTGTCTAAGATGTGTTTTTTAAGTAGTATATATCTGTTAGAGAGAATCAATAGACATAGTTGAAAAGAAGTTATTAGTCATATCAATATCTAAAGTGTTATTGTTATAAGGCTCGGTTTTACTTCGTCTAATGTTGTTATAACGATTGGATTTCTAAGTTTACACGAATGCACGTTAATTTACCTTAGACGAATATCTACACTAGATTCCCTTCTAGTGTCTATTCTACAGGACTTCAACACAACTCAGATCGAGAACATGTGTGGGCGAGGATGACAATGTTTGGTTGTCTCCTTAGTCAGACATGTAGATTGTCTGATAAGTGTCAGATGATTTATATATCCCCCTATCCTTATAACTATTATTACTTATTATTGATTGTTCATTGTTGTTGGATTGTGTCGGGCTTTTGATATGGAAATATATTACGACGTGGTCAGGTTAATCATATCAGTTAGTTGTATTATTTTTGACTGTTACTAAATGTTTGAAAAATTCCCGTATTGTAATTTAGAACAAAATAGATATAAGTGAATAATATTGTTTTTGATTAGATCGTCATCAGACTTTACTCTAATATACAGTAATATTTATATGCATACCAATCAAGGTAGTTTATAAGTCAATGATAACAATGAAAACGATTACATAATAAGTGAAAAGTACAAATTGGTAGTGTGATAACAAGTACAATAGTTTTTGATAAGAATAATAAAGGCTTGAATCATTGTTACATAATCGGAAATAGGTCAATGATTTACAGTATGTTGAATATCAAGAAGATTTAAAGGATAAGGGGGTGGAATATGCTTTACTCACCTACTCAATTTCTTAGATTTTGAGTGCACATATAATGTAAAACAAGAAATACACGATCAGTACTTTCTATCTTTCATACTTGAGATCATGATTCAATCGATGCTAGATCGCCGTTGAAAGCATGGAAGCACTGGACGGCCATTACGTCCTATTGTGGGACTCGTCGGCTGTGTGCTTTCACGTTCTCGTTCCTCGAGATTTGAACCCAGGACCTATCAGTATCGCGCGCGAGCACAAATCTCGCGAAGGGGGTAGTGGGTTCGCACTGCCGAGGTGTTCCACACAAGGACGAAACGGCCGTCCAGTGCCTTCAGGTCTCTAATAGTGGTCTAGCTTCAATTGACTCATGATCCCAACTATTGAACTTACTGTTTGGTTTAAGATTTCTTTAAATATCCATCATATTCTACAATGTTTCATTCCTTTTTCTTTAATCAGCATGCGTATATTTTCCATTCAATGTTCAGTATCAATTTACTGTTGTGATATAGTTTATCACTAATTTGTACTACGATATATATTTTTGTTTATTTTGAAATTACTTTTATGTAAATATTTGTATACAAATTACTAATTGAGCTAAATTAGTAGCTATATGTGTACACATTACATATTGATGAAACATTTTTGTTTGTTTTTGTTACTAAGCCAAAATTTAAAAAAAAAACTATACAATCCTATTTAATTGTTTCTAAATACAATTACATTTTGATCAAATGTTTAATAGAATGAAAATGTCATTTTCAACAGTTCGTGTGCTGTTACGGTTATGAGGGCCGATGTCACTTCCCGGCTGCCTACACCATGGAAGGGTATTTCTTGAGGAATCTGAAAAAGAAGTTTGACTAGTGTTAGTCTTAACGACCTGGGAGCGTTACCGCAGAGCCCAAGGGACAACTGTTTGAGGCCGGTCGCGCACGGTCTATTTGTGGGAGCTTTTAACGTGTTAGCTCCTTTCTTCAAAAAGACGAAAATCCGTGAGGTAAGGTGAGGTGTGACATTTTTAGGGTGTACCCTTTCTAACCCCTTATGAGTTGGTGTTATGTAGAATAATAGATGTCAATTCCTGAGACCTTCATTATGACATCAAAATAGACATGTAGTATATTTTGGTATACGAGGGCTCAACTGTTTATGGCAATTAATGTTATAACAGAACAAATATTATACTGGAACTGATGTTTCGAGTTATTATTAATTATAATTGTGTTTTATAATCACTAGGCAACTGGATTACTATGTATATATAGTCCATTTATCACTTAGGATTAAACCACTAACTTAGGTTACGACATTCATTATCCCTAAGCCATCGTAAAACAATGGCTTTTATATTTAATCTTTATACAGATTGAAGTGACATTGGGAACGTCTGACAACTTCTTTATCTATACGAAGGTATTTTTCTTCAAGTATCCTGTTTATAATAAATTAGATAGGCTAATGGTTATGGATGTTGGTTCTCCTTCAAAGTCGGTCTGGTAGGTAGATTATACGTAACAGCTAAATGGTCGTAGTGTCGGTTGTTATGTTAAGCCCATATACCCTATTCTAGCTTTCGGACAGCTCATTCTACTCATTCTACTTCAGTAAAATTCTGACCTTGTTATTTATTCGCTTATCAGTCTTGACTGTTTTTATATGAGCGCGTAGATGTGTTTGCGTTTCTTATCCCATTATTCATCACATGTCTGTAACTTACTTTTGTGTAACTATAAATATTGATTAACGCTTGGTTAAACGGGAGTTGGCCTACCAGCCATCTCCACTTTGCGTCCTTTCTCTTCTCTCTATTCCATTCGCTTAATATACAAAATATATGTACTCAAAATTCAATTCTTCTTATTTGACTTATTTAATTCCGTTATTGACTAACGCGATTAAAGTCGATGATTATATACGGGGATATGCGATAACAAACATTCATACGATCTTTTTGGAGTCAAATCCACGGACCACTAAAGTGAAGAGCCCTTTCGACAACATCGTCCGATCATAATGACGACAAAATAAAGCGCCCCACATGGTCAATGATTTTTAACCATGATTTATTGCATGTTACTGGTCATAAAATGCTATAGTTCAATTGTTGAACTGACAATTACATAAGAACTATTTCATTGTAAAATATTTGAAAATAATTATACTACTTATAAATATTTAAGTAGGTCATTTCAATAAAGAATGGTCACTTCATATAAAGATGAATTCAATTGAAATTCATCTCATAACATATTCATTCTATTCATCATATGATCTGACAAGAAAACATGATCTGACCTGTATTATAATCAAATCACTTGAATATTCCTTTCATATAAACTGAATTTAATAAAGAAGAAGGAGAAGAAGAAGCCATGTGATTATAATTACTATCATCATTGAATATTTGTCTATGTGAAATGTATCCTTCAATCATTCATCAATATTATTAGTTTGATTGAAGCTTTCAATGTACAATGTTCATTGACATTAAACTATCACATGTGAATAGCTCCAATTCATTTCGTGGATAATTTTTATTTTATTTATTTATCAAGGGAAGATTTCTGTAAATGAAAAAACAAACAATTTTTTAAATAATCTCCACAACCCCTATACTAGTAATCAACATGTGCTCACTAGTGACTAGCTTCGTGAGGGAATTCTCGGAGTTCTAGTGAGAAGCCGTGATCAGTGGAGGTTATTCCTTGTCGGGTAGAGACAGGTATCTACCTCAGTATAACGGAAGTTGGTCGCGCAATTTCGTGGATTGGTTGAGGTTAGAAACTATCACCATTGGATGCCGGCTCAGTGGCCCGGTAGGTTAAGCGTTCTCATGAGAGACCGAAGGCCCTGGGTTCGAATCTCACGGGGGGGGCGGGATCGTGGATGCGCACTGCTGAGGAGTACCACAATAGGACGAAACGGCCATCCAGTGCTTCCAGGTTTCCAAAGGTGGTGGTCTAACATCAATCGTTCCATGATCCCAATGAAAAACATAATATTCTCCACAACCCCCATACTAGTAAGTTTTTTTGTTTGTCAGAAGGGGTTTTTGTGGATATTATTAGTAATTTCAATAGTTGAGATCATTAGGCAATTCAATCTAGATCACCATGGAAAACATGAAAGTATTGATGTTAGGATCCGACAAACATAATGAATGGTAACTTTGGGATCTTTTCATGGACCAATACTATGAGTATATTTTTATCGTATAATTGTTAAATAGCTAAACTATTCGTACTCATATCGCTCTTATCATAAGCTTCATTTTGATCTATGAACTATTATTATACGATCTACCATTTTTGAATTATACCCAGTCTGTTAATCACTACTTCACACATTCACGGCCACTTTGGCTAAATCTTGTACAAATTCTGGTTCCTATTTTATTAGTACGTTGTAGTCTGTTTGATTGGTATATAAACTCAGTATGTTCGAAATATAATGATTCATATCACAGAGGCTCGGATTATTGTTCTGGACTTAACTGACTGGGCTAGACAGGGAAGCAGGACCAATCAGAACTTTAGACTACCCGTACTTGTTTTGCGCGTCATTGGTCCGATCGATAATTCGCTGCCCTATAATCGGCGGTCGCATGTTATAACAATTAGATAGTCGTTTCATTCTATTGTGGGACTCCTCAATCAGTTTGTTTGTAAAGGTTTTGTAAAGATATAG